GATAGCCTAATCATATCGGCAACAATAAATCAGTGGTAAAACTTCCATTTCTGATTCAAAAGTAAAGGTTGACCTGACACATATTCTTGGGTCTTCTTTGCAGGATTTAAATCCCTTTGAGCACTCAAATACCGGACCAACTGGAGCCAGAGAATTGATGATGCTGACCAGCTCTCCTGACTTCAATTAACTTGAGACCTGGTCTCAGTTGCCTTAAGATGACCTTTGCTCCAATTCCATGCTGAATTCCCAATTTTGCAAGCCCTTCCATGAATATATATGCACTTTTAGCTTGAAACTTACCCATTTTTATTGTTGAAGGAGACACTGCTTTGGGAGATATCCCCAGTGTTCTCCTTTATTTGTTGCAAGTAAAACTCTTCCTTTTCCTATTCTTTGCTTGGATGAGTCTTTTGGCTCCATTTCTACCAAAAGGTGAACCCAGTTTTGGGTAACAGTAAGAACTACAGTTGACCCTTGAACAACATGGGTTTGAACTGCACGTGTCCATTTATACCAGGATTTTTCTCAATAAATACAGTATAGTATTATAAATATATTTTTTCTTCCTTATAATTTTTTGTTTATTTTGAGATAGAGCGAGTGAGAGTGGGGGGAGGGCAGAGAGAGAGAGAGAGGGAGGGAGAGAGTGAATCCCAAGTAGGCTCTGCACGGATAGCACAGAGCCCCATGCAGGGCTTGAACCCACAAGCCTGAGATCATGACCTGAACTGAGATCGAGTCAGATGCTTAACCATCTGAGCCACCCCGGCACTCCTCCTTATGATTTTCTGAATAACATTTTCATTTTTTTCTTTAGCTTACTCTTAAGAATACGGTATAAAAAATACAGTATATAATACATGTAACATACAAAATATGTGTAACTCTACTGCCTAGGTTATCATTAAGGTTTCCAGTCAACAGTAGGGTATTAGTAGTTACGTTTTTGAGGAATCATAAGTTATTTGTAAATTTTCAACTGTGGGGGCAGGGGATTGGATCCCCTAACCCCTGCATTATTCAAGGGTCAACTGTATGTATGTGTATTTTTTTAAGTAGTCTTCACACCCAGCGCGGAACCCAACGTGGGGCTGGAACTCCGGATCCTGAGATCAAGACCTGAGCTGGGATCCAGAGTGGGATGCTTAACCATCTGAGCCATCCAGGCACACATGTATATATACTTTTAATATCTGTTTAGGTCATTGTTCCCTACTGGACTATGATCCTCTAGAAAGGAGGAGGTCTATTTTATTAATATTTGAATCCAGAGCTTGTGGTGTATTAAATCTGGCATCAGTAGGCACCATTTACATGTCTATTTGTTATTGTACACAACTGACAGATTTTTTTCTTAAATGATGTATTTTTATCTACACTTCCCATACCAGTAGGGCACGGCGATTAATAACTACCTGTTGACTACCTGAATGAAAGAATTAATACCCCCAAGAACCACATATTCCTATATGATTGGCGCGACGCGCCCCTATGAAGAACAGCAACAATTACTTCTTAAGGCCCCTGTTCCACGTACGCCAGTCGATGCCGCAGTGTTTTCTGGGAAAGGTAGTTCTAAAGCCCGTCGTCTGGCCCCGGTCAAACTGAGCCCAAACTAAACTTCCCAGAAAGCAGCACACTCGCCTGGGAAGAGGGGCAAGATGGCGGACGCTGAAGACGGTACTTTGCGACCCGCGGGAGCCTCTGCTGCCCCAATTTCATTCAGCTTCAGTCGCACGTCCGCCAGGAGACGGCTGGCGGATCCGGGAGACGACGCGAGTGCGGCTCCGGAGGAGAAGGATTTCTTAAAGACCGTGGAAGGGAGGGAGCTGCAGAGGTGAAGCGCCGTGTCTTTCATCCCTTGGAATTAGGTTCGGTGGGTTCAAGCGGGAGGGTGGAATCTGAGTTGATTGTTTTGGTGGCAGCGGCCACCAAACCTTTGGAGCACAGCCTGAGGAAATTCGTGGAGGCGAGAAGGCGGGAGTGTGTAACAGGGGAGGTGGGGAAATTGGACCTGACAGCCAGGGCGTTTGAGAAAAGAGGATGTATTCCTGAGAGGGTGTGTCTTTAGCACTTGGGGGCCTTGAGATGTGTGCGTTTTGAGAGAAGGAAAGGAGTGGAGAATGACAGGACCCCTAGTTTCTCAGCTGAAGCGGTGGAGCTTCTCCAGTATAGGGAATGGGGTGGAGTGGCAGATGGAGTTTTGGGGAGGCCATCATCAGCTTAATGCGGAAAGGAGAGTTGGAGGGAGAGACTTCCAGAAGAGAATAAGCCATCCAGGGGTTGGTGTGGAGCCTGGACCTGGGGAGAGTCTGGGCTGAAGATGGTGACTTGTGAGTCATTGTGAAAGCCACGGAAGTGGGTCTTGGGCTGAGCAGAGGTTCCAGGACTGAAGGCTGATTCCTCAAAGGCACTGATATTTAAGAGTTGGGGGTGGGGGAGAGAATCTAAAGAAAACACCATTAGATACATGACATGAGAGTGAGGGTGTGGTCCCTCCAGCTGGGGGTGAGTGTGGCTCTTGTGTTTTCTCTGAAGGGAGGAGTGTGGCTCAGAACCCACTGACCATGCTACTCTCCCAACTTCACACCTCTGTGTCCACATCAGTGTGAAGCCCTCAGAAACCCCCAAGGAACTCGTCATCCCTTTGATCCAGAATGGCCATCGCAGGCAGCCACCGACCCAGGCTCCTGGGCCATCCACAAACACTGAGGAAGGGGTGCTGTCTCAGGCTGTAAAGGAGATCATTGAGGGTAAGTGATCCCCTCTTTGCCTTGCCCCAGTGAAGGAAGAGGGGGAGGAAAATGGAAGGAGAGGGTGGGACCTCATTGCTTCCTCCCATTCTTCCTTAGACTCCAAGAAGTCCCTGGAGGAGAGAGAAAATTCGGGTATCGACCCCATGCTTGCTATCCCCATGATCCAGAAAGGATGCATCCCTAACGGAGAAGGGGCAGACAGCGAACCCCGAGCTGAGACCGTGAGCTGGCCCCTAACTCCTCCAGCCCCAGCCTTTCTTTGCCCTGTCTGCCAGGCTTGCCTCTCTGCACCCAGCAGGGAAAGTCAGTGTGTGTACTAGAGGCCTGCTGCCGAGCTCTTCCTCCTTCTGTCCTTTTTTGGAAGCATTAACAAAGGAATCCAGATACTGAGGTGTGGAAAAGCACTTGCATTCTGGAATTATATGAACAAGATGAGCAAATGGAACAGGAAATGTAAAGATCCTGAGGGTAGACTCTGCCTAGAGTGTTTGAGGAACACCAAGGAGACCAGTGTAGCTGGAGGGGAATGAGTGAAGGGGAGGAGTAGTAGACAATTTCAGGCATCCCAAGACCAGAAACACAAGTTTCAAGACACAGAGGAACACTAATAATATTAAATGCCAAGTAGAACTGTCTATGATGACAGAGTGTAATCTATCACACTGTATTAAGCAGAGGTAGAAAGTGACAAAATTGGAAAGTAGGAAGTGGCTGGGGCTAAACTAGGCAGGGCCTTGTGGGCCATGGTGAGGACTCTGGCTTTTATTGTGAATGATATGAGGGCCATGAGAGGGCTCTGAGCAGAGAGGGTGAAGACTTAAGATTTCACAAGATCTCTCTGGCTACTATGAGCAGAACAGACTAGTAAGTAAAGGCGGAAGCAAGGAGACTAGTAGTGCAGGCTAGAAATGATGGAGCCTCAGACCAGAGTGGTAGGAGTGAGGCCTGGAAGGACAAGTAGGGTTTAGTGAGAGAGGGAGGAGCAGCGTGAGTACCAATGGCAGGAACAACCCAAGCAACAGCATGGTGGCAGGGAGTCGGTGTTGTGTGTGCCCATCGGTGAAGCAACTTGCAGTGTGTCTAAAGTGAGTATAAAGAATTGGAGTGAGGATGGGAGGTGATCGATAAGGAGAAGTGAAGGGTATGTCTACAGAAGCAACAAAGTCTGTCTTTCATACACATGGATTCTACTGTTCACCTCTTTATTCGCAATTTTTTAGCGATGCTTCTTTGGGGCCTATTTCTCTTACAGCCCCAGACCACCCTCTCTTTTGACTGAACTGTTCTCATTGGCCTTCAGATGTCTTCTGATGTCTTTCATCTTAAAAAATAGGACCTTCATTTCACTTTCCACCCTGTTCCCTCTTTGGCCTCATTTCTCTCATTTCCTCTCCTCCCCCAGCCTTCCACATCTCAGTTGAACCCAGGTACATCTATCCTTCCTCTCAGCCAAAAAACCTTAGTCAGTGTTGACTCCCCTCTTTATTCCATACCCCAGGTACAGCCTTTCAGCAAAATCCTATCATGTCCCTTTGCAGAATACATCCAGAATCTGACCACTTCTCACCATCACCACTCTGGTCTGAGCCACAAGTATCTTTCATCTGGACCATTGCTGTAACTTCCTCACTGGGTCCCCTTGTGTGGTGGCCAGCCTCCTGTAGCTCCAGCCCAGATCTCCTGATTAATGTCTCACCACCCTCTCTGCCTCCACAGCACTGTTTCAGTCAGGTTGACTTTCATGATGCTCTTCCCACACCAGATCTTGTCCTGCCTCAGGGCCTTTGCTCTTATTGTTCTCTCTGCTTGGACTACTCTCCCTTCTATATCCTCCTGGCTCCCTCTGTCATCTCTTTCTGGTCTCTGCTCAGATATCAACTCAGTAACCCTCTCTTCTCCATCCCTCTGCATCCCCTTAAGCTGCTTTATTTTTCTTTATATAACTTATCACTACCTGACATACCATGTTTTATGCATTTTATTTATTGTGTGTCTCTACAACTAGAATGTAAGCCTCACAGAGCAAGGGTTTTTGTTTTGTTTACTGCTTTATCCTCATCACCTAGATTAGTACCTGGCACAGAACAGGTGCTTTATAATTATTTGTTGAAGGACAACATGGAGGAGTAAAGTGAGAGACAGCAAGAGGAAATCAAAACTAACCTTGAGCTTATTGGAAAAGAAGCATTGAGGGTCACCCTGTGGGTGTTAGTAAGCGCACTTCGGAGGACCCACTGTGAGCCAAGCCTAACCATCCTTCCTCTGTCTGAACCTGTAGGTGCCGGAAGAAGCTGATTACGAGGCAGTCCCTGTAGAGGCCTATGGGCTGGCCATGTTACGAGGCATGGGCTGGAAGCCTGGCGAGGGCATTGGCCGCACCTTCAATCAGTGAGTTCTAGGGTAGGGGCAAGGGGCAACAGATGGGGGCAGCGAACAAGACCCCCATGGTTACTACCCATCCAAAACCATCCAGGCAGGGAGAGGGCATGTTACCACCCTAATTAATTTAGTAAGCCTTTCCACTACTGTTTCAATCTCCTATTTACCCTTTGAAACTCTGTAACGAGATCCCATTTATGTAAAGGTTACTTTTCTGAACATCAGCTTTGTCATCTGAAAATGGGGATAATGACAATATTGACTTCCCAGGTCTGTTGTGGAGTTATGTGAAATTATACACATAAAGCACTTACAGCAGGCCCTGGCCCCAAATAAACATAGACTAGACATTTGCTATTATCACACAGACTTATGGTCACTTCTTCTTCTCAGTTCTCAACTCCAAAGAATTCTGAAAACCAAACATTTTTTTCATAAACCATTTAGTAGCCAAACATGACCTGAGACACAGAGCATTTTATAGTCTATTTCTCCTGCTTGGCGTGAACATTTGTATGATTTCCCCTGTAGAAATATCAGGGTGTTTGATTACAGGGATCTGTCTCAGGTCCTGCTGTAGATACTATGTAATAGATGGTTTATCCAATGTGTTATTAGGTTGGACCAAATGAAATTGTTATTTCTGTAGATCAAAAGCAGTCCTAGTGTGAGATGGGAAAGGCTATTCTTGAACATGTTGACACGGTGGAATTTGAATAGTAGTGCGTGGGGGAGGCACTGAAAACTTACATCTTCCCCCTCTCCTGGCCAACAAGTTCACATACTGTGCTCCCTGCAGAGTGGTAAAGCCCCGTGTCAACTCACTGAGACCAAAGGGGTTAGGGCTGGGTGCCAACCTGACTGAGGTCCAGGCCCTGGCCCCCACTGGCCCCCACCGCCTGCCAAAGCCAGATGAGGAGCAAGAGAAGGATAAGGAAGACCAGCCTCAAGGACTGGTGCCTGGGGGAGCTGTGGTGGTTCTTTCTGGCCCGCACCGAGGCCTCTATGGGAAGGTAAGGAACAAAACTGTGCCGGGAGCCTGAGACAGGCAGCGGGGAAGATTGATATGAGGGCCAGAGGGAGGAAGACTTGGGTTTGGGGTGGAAAGGGCTGGAAGTCCTTGTCTTGCAGGCAGCGTGCCTGGCTTGCTGCCTCATTTGGTAACTCAGAACCACTTGCTGGGCCTTTCTGAGCCTCAGTTTCCAACTAAAAGAGAGAATGCCATATGCCACATGTTCCTGAGGATTAAATTCTTAAAATATATCCAAGCCACAGAGTCTGTCAGGGGAGACATATGGACCAGGGCCCGTCCCAGGCCTTGGGTCAGTCTGGTGGGGGAGACACAGGGGTCAACAGGGGTCAAGCCTATTGGAAATAAGAGTGGACAGCTGGGGCCTAGGAATGTGGGTTTAGTCCACATTCCTAACTTCCTCCCCCCAACCATTCAGGTAGAAGGCCTCGATCCTGACAACGTTCGGGCCATGGTTCGCCTGGCCGTGGGGAGCCGCATGGTGACTGTTAGTGAGTACTACCTGCAACCTGTCTCACAGCAGGAGTTTGACAAGAATTCCTTGGATCTCAGTGAGTGAGCTTTTTACCTAGCTGGGAGAGTTAGAGAAGCATCCCACCCGGCGCGCGGCGGGGGGGGGGGGCAGGGCCTGTCCCCGGTGGTGGGGGTGGCGGGGAGATCAGCAGTCTGCCTGGCAGGTGTGACTTCTGGTCAGAGGTCAGGAGGCGAGAATGAAGATAAGTGGTTTATTCAGTTTGAGGAAAAATTGATGTAGTAACCCTGGGGCTTTCTTTTGCTTCTTTCTGAGAGAGAATAAACACGTATGGAAACCAATTCCTATCCTTGGGAGGTCTATTCAGGGTGATGAGCCTGTCTTCTAGGGAGTGAGGGCAGCTGGGACTAGGCTGTGACCAGGGATGAAGGCATTCTAGGCATGGCAGCAGGATGGGGCAGTTTGGCAGATGGGAGATTGGTGCTGACAGAGCTCTCAGGATTTTCTAGCCCATACTAGGTGGTCACCTCAGATTAGCAGCATCAGCGCAGGCTCGAGTGGCTGAGGAAGGCTTCCTAAAGGAAGCCCCAGCAGTTGAAGGGAAGGGAAGAGCATTCCATTGGTGTAGGCAAAGTCACGATGGTAGGAGGGGACACTGAGGCAAGTGGGAGGTGGCCTGAGGCTGAGGTGTAGCCTGCAAGGTAAGAGAATGGCACACTGAGGCTCCTTCCTCCTTCTCCCCACACACCCTTGTGTAGGCCAGATGCGTAAAACTTCCTCAGTGCAACAGAATGGAACAGCTTCGTCATGGAAGGCCCTCCGGGATCAGGACCTCCCCAGCCAGCAAGAGGACTCACAGAGGAAGCGAAAACACCTTCCCGACCGGTGGGACCCTGGGCATCTGGGATGGGGGGGAGAAGGCAAGGCTGTGGAGAGGCTCCAGCAGTCAGAGAAGGCTTCCAGGGCAAGGCAGGCACATAGAAGGAACTAGAGATGGCATTATGGGTGGGTTTCACAGCAGCAGCAAAGGTGGGGTGAGCAGAATGTGCATCTAATGAACTAAGCCCCGTGTTGGCCCCTTTCCACAGACAGGGGGAGCCTGCTGCCAAGAATGAGAAGGCAGGTCCCAGGAGCCAGCACTGGTTGCACAGGGACCTACGCGTACGCTTTGTGGACAAGCTGCACAAGGGTGGCCAGTATTATAACACCAAGGTGGGAACCCTGCAACCTGGGTTCTCCTCCTCCCCCAGGGACTAGGTCCCCATAACTCCAACATTCTCACATCCCTTGACCTCCCCAGATGACGATCGAAGATGTCCTCAGCCCAGATACCTGTGTGTGTCGAACAGATCAAGGCCAGGTCCTAGAAGGTGAGTCTGAGAGATGGCCACTGGGTCGTTATCATCCTGGAGGCTGATGGGAAGGCTGTCTTAGACCAAGAGGCTGGTGTGGGCAGAGGCTGGGAGATAGGGTAGAGTTCAGATATTTTGTAAGGTCCAGAATCGTCTTTTTTATTGTTGTTTTTTTAATTTTGGGTCTTTTTTTTTTAAGCTTATTTATTTATTTTTGAGAGAGAGAGGGAATGAAGGAGGGAGAGAGAACCAGCAGGGGAGGGACAGAGAGTGGGACGGAGGATCTAAAGCAGGCTCTGAGCTGTCAGCACAGAGCCCAATGTGGGGCTCGAACTCACAAACCATTAGATCATGACCTGAGCCAAAGTTGGACGCTTAACCGACTGAGCCACCCAGGCGCCCCCAAGGCCCAGAATCTTCTGACAGAACATTAGGCGCTTCTGTGATAGTATTATCTGAGCCCCTCCTTTCCCCATCTGTGACATTGGCATGAAAATGAGCTATTTCTCCCTCTTGTACAGATGTGTCCTGAACTCCTTGTGCAGGGCAGGGCATATAACGTGCCCACAGTAAACGGTATCTGTTATCATCACCCATCATCTTCCTACATAAGTGCTCCCTTTTTTAGGAACTGCTCCTTAGGTGTCCTCACCCACACCTGTCAACAGGGTACAGAGTGGCTCTCAGGAATACAGAAAAGGACTTGTGACAGGACCCTGGGTAGGCTAGTCCTGGCTGTGGGCCTCACTCCCTCCCCTCATCTGTAGGCCTGAGGGAAGACATGCTGGAGACCCTGGTCCCCAAGGTCCAAGGCAACCGGGTTATGGTGGTGCTGGGGCCACAGGCTGGAAAGGTGAGTCCCAGACCTGGGCGTGGGGGGTGGAAGCATGCAGGGGATGTCCCAGAGTCTGGGTTGGCTCTGCTGACTCCACCCGCTGCTACTCTAGGTGGGCCGCCTGCTGGACTGGGACAGAGAACAGAGCCGGGCTGTGGTGCAGCTGCAGAGAGAGAATCAGCTGGTGGAACTTCACTATGATGCTGTCTGCCAGTACCTGGGCCCCAGTGACTCAGATGAAGACTGACCCATGGCCCCGTTCCCACCCCCAACGCCGCCACCTGCTCTGTATGGTGTGGAAAGACAGTCTTCACAAAGGTGGGGAGGTCATTGTTCCATCCTCCACTTGCACCTCAGCCCCAGGACAGGGACAGGGCATAAGATAGATGGGCCTGAAGGGAGGCTTGAAACAAACCTGGTATTCTCCAGAAGCTAGTGTGTAATAAGAATCATTTCAAAAACTCAGTAAAATGACAAGATCGTAAGTGTGTGCTGAGCTGAGTAGAAGCGGGAGCTGAGCTGATGGAAGTGGGAGCCGTTCCAGGCTTCAGCCCCACCTCCCTGCATGGGCTGACAGACAAGTTCAAGGATCTGTCTGCTTACAAGTTCATTCTTGGAATACAGAAGCTACGAAGTGTGTCCCCTGAGCAGACGCTATGGAGTCTGGAGTGCCACATCTCTGTACAACTTCCTGAGGAAGAATCCTAGTGGTGGCTCTACTTTTTTTAAAAAGTTTTTTAAATGTTTATTTTTGAGAGAGAGAGAGAGACAGAATCCGAAGCAGGCTCCAGACTCAGCTGTCAGCACAGAGCCCAACACGAGGCTCAAAGTCACAGATGGCAAGATCATGACCTGAGCCAAAGTCAGAAGCTTAACTGACTGAGCCACCCAGGCGCCCCATTGGTGGCTCTACTTTTTACTCTTGGTCCAGACCAGAAGTCTTGAGCCAGTGATGAGAGTCCAGAGGAAGGGAGGCTTCTACCCACAAATGGGATGTGTTTGCACTATTTCTCAGAGGACTCAGTTAATTTCAGGGCCCCTGTTTTAGTCCCCAAACTTTGGCTAGAAGGTAAAAAAAAGTTTTGTCCCAGGTAGGATTTCTCTGATCCAGGTAACTGGACTCTCAAAAAGGTTATTGTCAGACAGCCCTCAAAACTTTTTCCCATTTAATGGGCTGAGATCCAAAATCAACAAGGGAAGCAAGAGCTTTAGGTCCAATTGCTTCTAAGTCATCCCCAAATGCAAACTGGTGCAGCCACTCTGGAAAACAGTTTGGAGGTTCCTCAAAAAATTAAAAATAGAACTACCCTATGACCCAGCAATTGCACTACTAGGCATTTATCCAAGGGATACAGGTGTGCTGTTTCAAAGGGACACATGCACCCCCATGTTTATAGCAGCACTATCAACAATAGCCAAAGTAAGAAAAGAGCCCAAATGTCCATCGATGGATGAATGGATAAAGAAGATGTGGTATATATATATACAATGGAATATTACTCGGCGATCAGAAAGAATGAAATGTTGCCATTTGCAACTACGTGAATGGAACTAGAGGGTATTATGCTAAGTGAAATTAGAGAAGGATAAATATATGATTTCACTCATGTGGAATTTAAGAAACAGATGACCATAGTGGTAGGGAAGGAAAAATAGATAAAAACAGAGGGAGGCAAACCATAAGAGACTCTTAAATACAGAGAACAAACTGAGGGTTGCTGGTGGGGTGTTGGGTGGGGGGGATGGGCTAAATGGGTAATGGGCATTAAGGAGAGCACTTGGGATGATGAGCACTGGGTGTTATCTGTAACTGATGAATCACTAAATCTATTCCTGAAACCAATACTATACTATATGTTAACTAACTTGAATTTGTTTTAAAAAGATGATATAACTGTTATATACACCCAAAATCAGAGTACCTAAGTATATAAAGAAAATATAGATATATATGAAGGTAAAAATAGTTTTATTACACTGTATGTTAACTAACTTGGATTTAGATAAAATTAAAACTACAAAATAAAAAAACAATAAATCATCCCTAGTCACTAACTTATTGATGTAATAAATGGTATTTGAGTTATATCTAGACCACTGGTATGAACTCCTGACCTGTCAGGACATGGCCCAGTGCTGTAGAATTTTTTAAAAAAAATAATTGAATTATCACATTAAAATTATTACAACTCTTGGGGCGCCTGGGTGGCTCAGTCGGTTAAGTGTCCGACTTCAGCTCAGGTCACAATCTCGCGGTCTGTGAGTTCAAGCCCCGCGTCGGGCTCTGGGCTGATGGCTCAGAGCCTGGAGCCTGCTTCCGATTCTGTGTCTCCCTCTCTCTCTGCCCCTCCCCCGTTCATGCTCTGTCTCTCTCTGTCTCAAAAATAAAAACGTTAAAAAAAATTTTTTTTTAATTATTACAACTCTTTTTTATCTGATTAAATCTTTTGAAAATTTTAATTGTTGAATACATGTTATCATACATACATACAATGTTATCTTAGTTTCGGGTGTACAACGTCAAGTGATTGAACAATTCTAATACATTACTCCATGCTCACTAAGAAAAGTGTAGCTACCATCTGTCACCATACAACATTATTACAACATTATTGACTCCATTCCCTATGGTGTACTCCTTGTCTCCCTGACATTTTTTTTTTTTTTGATAACTGGGAGTTTGTACCTCTTAATCCCCTTCACTGATTTCACCCATCCCCTTCCTCTTTGGCAACTACCCCTAGAGCGGGGCGATACAGGTAAGCTACTGTCTCTGCCCAGCAGAGGCAGAATGCTGTTTAGAGCCAAAATGAGCAGGTATAGAAAAACGGCCAAATCAATGGCCATATGCTGAGTAAGGTAAGGGATGATTGGAAGACCTTCCAGTATCATAACCCCAGTGTGAAGTACAATTGCACAGGAGCGCCTGGGTGGCTCAGTCAGTCAAGTGTCTGACTTTGTTGGCTCAGGTCATGATCTTGTGGTTTATGGGTTCAAGCCCTGCGTTAAGCTCTGTGCTGACAGCTCAGACTGGAGCCTGCTTAGGATTCTGTGTCTCCTCTGCCCCACCTCCACTCATGTTCTGTCTCTCTCTCAACAATAAATAAACAATTTTTAAAAATGTGTTATGAAGTATAATTGCACAGACAGATATTACTGATTTACTAATTTACTGATCCCTAATTAATTCCAGAACTCCTCTGTTTTCAGGATTGGCCAAGCAGGGCAGTTAAAGCAGACAGCAGAGGACAAACCCCACCCCTAGTTTCTCCCGTTGCTGAGTGATAATTGTGATGGTACACACTGTCCCCGGAATTCCAGGCTGGGTTGTGTTTTTCATGTTGGGGGGAAGGGTCACAAGTTCTAAAGGTTCCCAATCTGGCACGTCCAGTAGTCCATTTGCCTTATTGTATGTGCTACACCCAGTCAAGAAGGCCTCCTCCTTTCTCCAAATCATAATAAATTCATCTTGGTAACACCCTCAAGAAGAGCTTAAAGCTTCCTGGAGAATGGTACTGGTCCTCTGTCTCTGCCCTGCAATGTGGTATAACCTGGCAGTTTCAGACAATCCCTTCCTCTCCTCCATGTGTCATAATACTTAAAATAGATTTCATCAGATTTTGGTTTCCTGGAGATGACATTTCTCCTGAGCCTGTCTTTAAAAACAGGGCCAAGGGGAAAACAAATAAAAACAGGGTCGGGGAGGGAGGGAGCCTCTGGGTGGCTCAGTCAGTCTTGATCTCATGGCTCACAAGTTTGAGCCCTGGGTTGTGCTCTGTACTGACAAGCTCCGAGCCTGGAGCCTGCTTCCGATTCTGTGTCTCCTCTCTCTCTGCCCCTCCCCGGCTCGTACATGGTCTCTGTCTCTCTGTCTCTCTGTCAAAAATAAAACATTTAAAAAAATGGGCTGGGGGCGCCTGGGTGGCTCAGTCAGTTGAGTGTCTGGCTCTTGATTTCAGTTCAGGTCATGATCTCACTGTTCCATGAATTCAAACCCAGCCTAGGGCTCTGTGCTGGCCTTGAGGAGCTTGCTCAGGGTTCTCTGTGCCTCCTCTCAAAAATAAACATGTATGTAGGTAAAAAAAAAACAAAAACAAAAACAAAAAAAAGCGGGCCTGAAGTTCTTAAATACAACCCTGTGTCCCGAACACATAGCCCTAACAGAACACCTCGTCCCCCAACAGACCACGGTGGCTTTTTGTTTCCCCTGAGTTCATCCCTCCTGATCCCTCAGTTCCAGGACAGGCTCCTTACATTCTGAGAAGCGTGGACAGCATCAAGAAGCTTCCCCGATCTGTCCCTTGTTCATCGCACATACAGAAAGATGACCCTGCACAGTTTTCTCTCGGCCCAATGCCTGGTGCTTGCCGGCTACCAAGGTTGCCCTTTGCCAGCTGTTGCTGTGGCAACAGCTGTGAGCCTGTGAATTCTCCCTGGGCCACTCACAAGGCCAGGGCTGTGACCCATACAATTTGTTCAGACTGGCTTCTTCCACGTCACAGGGAATGAGCAAGATGTGGTTGAAAAAGCATCTGCCTCTTCTGCTAAGTCTCCAGAAGTCTCCCTGGCAGGGTGCTGCCTCTATTAAACACTGTGCAGGGACAACTGGGTGGCTCAGTTAAGCGTCCAACTTTGGCTCAGGTCATTATTTCATGGTCTGTGGGTTCAAGACCCACATCAGGCTGTGCTGACAGCTTGGAGACTGGAGCCTTCTTCAGATTCTGTGTCTCCCTCTCTCTCTCTGCCCCTTCTCTGCTCATGCTCTGCTTCTCTCTCTCTCTCTCTCTCTCTCTCTCTCTCTCTCAAAAATAAACATTAAAAAAAAAACCCGTCCAGACACTGGGTCATAAATTTGTGGCAGCAGACTCAAGAAGCAGTTTCTTTACCTTTCAGAGAGTGAGTTATTTGGGTGATTGGGACTCTGTTGCCTAAGGGCTGAGCCTGGTGGCAGATGCATGCAGTTAGATTCTCCTCTGACATTCCTTCCTCAGCCAGGGAATCCTCCCCTCCACCCCCACATTGGCTCCTGTTAACCTCCATGTTCCAGCACCACGCAGAAGGATTAAGTGCCCAACAACTTGGAAAGCTGTATGAAGGGCAGTGGGTCCTCACCAAGTGCTCCTATTGCCCCAATCCATTCAACAGGCATCTATTGAGCCCTTACTGTATTCCAGGTACTGTTCTGCCTGCTGGGGGAAAAGTAGAGAGTAAATCATTCAACAAACATGAGTCCCTACTATATGGCAGATGTGATGCTGGGGATATGGCCATGAATAAGACAAAGATCATTGCCCTTGTGGCATCTGCGGTTCCAGTGAGGCTGAGAGACAGCAAAAAACACAAGAGGTAAATTACCTAGTATGCTAGAAAGTGATGAGTCATGGGGGGGTGGGGCAGGAGCGGTGTAGTGGGGGCAGGGAAGAACAGCAGGGTAAAAGTGAACTGGAGTGGGCAGATGGCAGGATTCATAGCAT